ACCTTAATTTAGATTGAGATTGATTTTGTATGAGCTGTGTTGGAATGTTGATTCTGTACAACACTTTGGTCTACTAAAAAGAGTTTTACAAAGTTGGATCTCAGTGAAATTGTCAGAAAGTAACTAAATGTCTACAAAGTTTGTAATCAGCTCAATTCAAGATGGCCACCCCAGCTAACTGATCTTAGTTGACACAAAGTGTCTCTACCTCAGTGGGTTTTACAGATCTTGAGCTAGAATTTGACGTGTTAGTAGCTGAGAATCATTAATGTTAACAGGTTGTGTAGAAAATGATCTCAGAATAAAACTCTGGCATTTAATTTTTCACAGCTTCTGACCTCATCCTTTCTTGATATATTCAGTTTATTTTTTTGCATGTTTTCATGCTTTTCAGCCGCTCTTCATGAACCGAGCCTAACTGCTTTGTGTTTATGTCTTAATGCCGTGTCTGTGCATGTTTCCAGGCCTGTCAAGAGCCCCCTGAAGGTGCAGAACGGTGTTCAGGAAGCAGATTCACCCATCAAGAAGGTTGCCAAACGCAGCCGTCAACTCCTGGACAGCGATGAGGACGAGGCTCCGGCTGTTAAAGAACAAGCTGCCACCAGGGGACAGGGAGACAAAGAAGCTAAAGCGGAGGAGAAGGTAAAACAYGAGCTGAATCTGCTGTAATTAAGAGCTCCTTTAGGATTATCGTGGCCTGTTGTTTGTTTAGTGTTGGCCAAATGGCTGGTACACAGAGGGCCGGTGATTGTACACTGACTTGTGATGTTGAATACATTTGTCAATAAGCCACATAATGAAAAGACCTGATTATCGGCTTTGGCCGTCGTTCAGCCACCTGCTGTTTGACGAACGCTCCTCCGAACTGGCCYGCTCACTTTGTTTGTGGCATGTCAGCAGTTATTTATTGTTTGCTGTCGGAGGGAAGAGACGGTGATGGATGTGTGAGGTTTGTCRGTGTGACCCGACTCGTCCTGCTTGTTCACGTGTGGCCAGGTGGGTGTAATATATCCACTCTGGTCCTGTTGGCAGCCGAGCATCTCCACTCCAGCTGAACGTCTTGTTGGTACCTAATCAWGCTTTTTATTCCTGATTAATCTTCTTTACTTTACTTTTATACTAGACACTTRTCCGTGTCAATAACGCACTCATGGTCCTTTTAGTTCCTAGCGTATAGAACTTATAAACGTGTTTCTACCTTCAAAAAATAGACTTTTAAAGAACTTTTCTTTCATTGATCAATGTTGTTGCAACACATTTTCTGTTGGGGTGTATTCAGATCAGGAAAGTCCTTTGGTCCAATTGTTTGGTCCGAACCAAAAATGGACTTTTTATTTTGTTTGGTGCGGTTTGCAT